GGTGTAACACCGGATTGGAACTCTACAAATTTGAATAGGTGGTTGTTGAGAAATTCTTGCTTAAAGTTTGAAAAAAAAAAATTTTACCTAATTTTTATTTTTCCAAGATTTTCTAAATTTTTTTTAACTTCTAGCTAGGATTTTTCGACAACTACTAAACCCAAATACAATAAATTTTTTTTTATTTGGATTCTACTAAAGTATGGGATTGAAATAAAAAAATTTACTGAATTTGATCAAGTAGTTATTGAGAAATCTTCGCTAAAAATTTGGAAAATCTTAAAAAATTTTGGATGATCGCTAAATTTTGATTGGTCGTGCGAAATTTTTTAGGTTGATATTAGCGGTAGACTCGGCCGGGTTATAAGAACTGATTTATTGTAAGACCTATATATTTTCAGACTTTACCCGGCAATAAGTATGTCACATGTAGCCAACAAGAAATCCGACTACCATTTTTTCAGGTGACACGAGGCTTGTTAGCAATTTGTATGTGAATTCGAATTACAGTATTTATATCTCGAGTTATAACCACTTTATTTATTAAAGAAAGAATGGCCGACAGATCGCCTCAACAAATTCTTAAAGATTCTCACGTTAATGGCTCAATAGGTAGTAACTCTTCTCGAGGTGGTCATTCCAGTGAAGAGAATGGTAGATCTTCTGGTACTCCTTTTCGTACTTACCATAACGCTGAGGCTAGTTTCCAATCTTCACCAGAAGGTTCTCCGTACCGAATTAAGACGCCTCAATTAACTCCTTACTCGAAACCATATACTGATTATCCGTATGCTACTTTTTTTGTCTCCTTCCTTATTCTCTCTATATAACTTTCTAACTTCAATCTTCTTTCAGTCAACATAAATTTCACGGATGTTCTTCGATCGACGATTACGAATTTATGGACAAACTTGGAGAAGGAACTTTCGGGTACGCTTCGCGTTTTCCGCACTTTATTTCTTAAACATATCTAATATCTTTTCGTAAATAGTGAAGTACACAAAGGTAAACACACAAAGAGTGGTAAGATTGTCGCGTTAAAGCGAATATTGATGCATAACGAAAAAGAAGGAATTCCAATAACGGCTATACGTGAGATTAAGATCTTAAGGCAGCTTTCCCATCCAAACGTTGTGAGTCTATCGGATATGGCTATTGAATATGGTATTTTTATACACATCATAGTTAAGTGTTATATGTTTCTCTAAATTTTTATTGAATCTTTCTAATTCTTATCTGATAGATACTCCTTCTGATACTCAACCCTCAATTTATATGGTTTTCCCATATATGGATCATGATCTTGCGGGTCTCCTGGAAAACCCTGATGTTGTTTTTACACCACCACAGATTAAATGTTACCTAAAACAATTACTTGAAGGAACTTTTTATTTACACAATGTGGGCTTATTCTCAATTATTATTTTTTTTTATTT